CGTTTTTTTGGTTTCACCATTAATGTATGCTGAAATGGGTGGATGAGAACGTTGACTGCAACGTGGTTAAACAACGATGGGTGTGTTTAAAGTTTGCGCAGCTTCTCCGGCAGAAATTACCCGGATATTGGAGTCGCTTGATTTTGAGCCCGTAGTGAATTTAATTAACTCCTGTGTATGGAGCTGATGCTGTGGAAGTGCACCACTTACGGTTCCGTCATGCGTTGAGTGAAAAGTTTTTACCAAAAATACCATACACATTAATTAATTCCGATCGGGAGCTTACTGGCAGTGCTTGAACCAGTCTCATTAAGGAAATGCATCTGGTTTTACTCTAGATGCTATCCTTTGTTAATTTGAAAATCATATCGACGGTGTGGGTCCGCAACCACGTATCTCATTTGCGGTGTTTCAAAATTTCCACTCCTGTTTTATTTGTTTAAAGGAGAACAAATCGACATTATTCCATGAAATTTTCGCAGAATTATTTTCACAGAGAGAAGATTATCATTGCAGTTTTTAAGAATTACCGTTCAGCAGTTTGCCATTTAGAAAATAAAGTGTGACAGAACGTGTGCAACGTCGCAACCCGAGATACGTTTTTGCGGACTTACATCCCCTGGTAAAAATTGGCAGTAGATTGTGTGTTCCAAAATACCATCGACCTACAGCCAGCTGTAAGATTTCCAATAGCTTCTATAGCCGGCTACACAATTTCTTATTGCCATTTAGGCTATGGAGATTAAGCAACAGCCAGGCGATAAAGTGTATGCTGAACGTTACTATAATTACGGATGCTAGGACTTAGTGAGTTTTTGGACTAACGCTCTCTTTTTGGGCCGTGGTATCTTGATTTATTTTGCGAGGAAAGTTCCTTACTTTTGATGGATGCCTGTCATTCCTAATACATTAGAGCGCCTTCAGTTTCGTATGATACTGTGCAATACCTCTGGTGTGAAATAGTTGCTTCAGACGCCGTGGCACGCTGCAGTGCGGCAGGCGGGCAGCCAGCGCGAAACGCGCATTGGCGCCTACAAACCTAACAGGGATACTTCACGCGTTGCGCAATGCGTGAAGTATCCCTGTTAGGTTTGTAGGCGCCAGTAGGTCGCCGCTCCGGCTCCGCTTTGTGTTAGGCCCTAATATTTAATCTGGAGGAGTCAGCGTTATTCAACTCATGATTTTGAAATGCTTCCACATCCTGTATGGATTATTCTTATTTTAATTGATGAAAACAAATATGTATTAAAGGAAAATATAATGTGTATGTAAAGTGGTTCCGTATCAAACTTAATGATTTCCAAAGCACACAAATTTCTACACAATTTCTTATAGCCTTTTATAATCGATGGCGAAAAAGCAACAGTCAGGCGATAAAGTGTACAGCCTAGCGATAAAGTGTAAAACCCAGCGATAGAAACTGTAGCCCGGCTGCATACTTTTTTATCGCTTCGTATAGCCCGGCCGTATGATTTTCTCCGCATTCTACAGCCAGCTATATGATTTTCTGTAGCCTTCTTTAGCCGGCTATAAGAATTCCAATGGTATTTCGAAACGCAGCTCTCATCGCCAATTTTTACCTGGGTCGTCGATGGGTAGTGGCAGTGATTCTCGATTTTGACATTTTTCATCCCAAGCCTGAAATAATCACGTGTTGCAAATGTTTTCATTTGGTTTAGAGATTAGGTCTGGGCTAAATTTCTCTCTAAACGCCCCTTTGCGCCCCCCCTTTGTGTATATGTCGCAGGCAATTATCAATCGCCGGCAATTTGCAAGCAATAAGTGAATCAATAGAAAATAATAGATTTTAGAAATATAGTATCAAGATTAAAGTACTGATATTTATTTACCCTTTAATGGGAGTGGACATTTTTCCCTCCATAAAAGCATGGTAGTAACAGATAAATTCACGAGAGCGTGTGATGGAAACCATGAACTTAGTTGGGTTCTGTTGGGTCACGCAACTAAACTAACACCGTGACAAATCGTTGAGTATCACAAAAAATGAAGGCGCTCCATTACGAGATCATGCTTTGGAAGGCCTTAACCCGTTAGGCCTTCATTACGCTGATTCGCATCGAAACAAATGTAAATCGCTTGCAAACTGCCGGCGATTGCTAATTGCCTGCGACCTATAACACCTCAATAAAATAGCATTATACTACCACATCAACAGATAGACCATCTAAAACGCTTTCCAGACTTCAGAGGGTTGAATAAATTTATAATTCCGAGACAAATTAACAAATTTCAAATTTTGTGAAATTTATTCGAGCCTTTTGAAATTTCACTTTCCCATCTCTGTCCATGATTCGATCGAACTCAACCTCCAAAATTACCGACAAGCGGCTAGGAAAGCGCGGACCCCCTAGTTTTTGCATCGGAGGAAAAAAAACTACTCTAATTAAGGTCCCAGGTGCTGTTTGAAAGCCGCGCAGAATAAATTCAAGTCTGACCGCAACCCCGGCACCGAGCGCTAGCCTCCGGGCTCGAGGTGGTTTTTCATTTAAATCAAATGAAACGAACAAGCGGGGGAACCGAAGCGAGAAAAAAACCACTTTATTGTCTCTTGTCTGTTCGAGAAATGGGAAATGGGTCGGTGCACAAATGCTTGTCCTCTGTTTTTTCTTGCGTTATTTGATTTGCCTCGCTCTAAATACATGTATCAATGCCAAGTATTAAAAACGCCGATCCATCGGATTCCGACGAAACCGCACTGAGACAATTTCCTGTCGCGCTGAGCATCCTATATCCGGTTTCGGATGTTCTTTCGTTGGGTTTTTTTTTCATTTCTCCGGGGCGGGGGTGCAGGGTTTTTTTACGCTCCAATCGAGGTTCGAGAAAAACGGATCCTTTGAAAATTATTCAGCATGATTTATTTCCCTCTTTGATTTTTCAATTACTTTCGGGCTGCCCGATACCAGCTAGTTCATAGCTTTACCCTAGCCTCTCAATCTTTCTTTACAGTCCTTGTAGCACTGTCCTCCCCAGTACAGTCGGTTCTTGAGTCCAGCATCATCTAACAGCAAGCAACTTTTGGAATGTACAAAACTTGATAGTAATTGAACCGATTCTTCTCCAAATCCCGTAAGCGCCAAAATTTCGAATGCGAGAAAAACAAGAAAACCCGTTTTATTTGCTTTGTGGCCAATCTTCAAATCCCAAGAATGTATGTTCTTTTAGAGGGCTATTTGGAAATCAGAAATGATTGATTACACCTGAGAAATTAAAGAAAAACCCTGGTAAAAATTTGCGATAGGAGCTGCGTTTCAAAATACCATAGGAGTTCTTACAGCCGGCCAAAGAAGGCTATTAAAAATCATGTAGCTGGCTGTGGAAAGCGGAGCAAATCATATAGCCGGGCTATACGAAGCTGTAAAAAAGTATACAGTCGGGCTATAGTTCCTATCGCCGGGCTTTACACTTTATCGACATTGGCTATAAAAGGCTATAAGAAATTGTACAGCCGGCTACAGAAGCTATTGGAAATCTTACAGCCGGCTTTAGGTCTATGGTATTTTGGAACACAGATTCTACTGCCAATTTTTACCAGGGAAACAACTCCTTTACCACCAAAATAGAGACTATGACGCTTACTTGATTTGGAAAATTAACCGGTTCAATTTAATGAAAAACCACATCGCACACTTTATCAAACGAATTGAAGTGATGCAACTTCATTCCGGCGATGAAATATACAGAATATCAAATAAGGAAACAAGGGAAATAGTACGATAAAGCTTTTTCAGTTAAATGGGCCTACAAACCGGCATGCATTGAAAAGCTCTCCTTCTTTTTTCTTATATTGAATTATTATTCTCATTCACTCTTACGGCCAGAGAACTGACGAGCACACCCCATTTTTCGCACCTGCACATAAATCTGTTTGATAGAAATACATCCAATTCTCAATTTAGTGTCCCAAGTAAAAAGGTAAAAATGGCCAAGACAATTTTATTATTGCGTTGTGAGCCAAATTCCGGAAATAGGTACCTACCTATACAAAATTCCTTATTTAAAGATGAAGGAAGGCCAAGGCCCTTAAAAAATTGTGAGAGTAAGGAGAAAACTAGAGAGTTGTGGAACCTAATTGATTTTTTCAATTAAGTATTTTTCAATGAGATATTATTTTTTATTTTATTTCTGCTGTAGAATTTCATTTTTTCCATCTGATCATTTCACTTATACTTCCTTCGCCTCACATTTTCTGCAGAATTTAATAAAAATATGGTACCTTCAATCGCCAATCCTTTGCTGTTACATGCACAGAGAAAAAGTTCTATTTAAATCAAGAAAAGCTTCAATTGAATATTTCCTAGCACCTAACCTAAGGCTTCATGCGAATATCGTCACCTTCCGGCCAAAGTATCACAAGCGCCATGCGACGTGTCAAAATTTCCGCCGCCATTTTACTTTTTTACAGAGAAATTGTCGGTCAAAACTGTTCGAGAATTTCACCGAATTTTATCGGCAGCACAAAAAAAAAATTCAGTAAAATTTTCAGACAGCTTCGTTGCACAATTTCTCTCTAAAAAAACAAAATGGCGTCGGAAATTTTGAAACGTCGCATGGCGCTCGCGACACTCCGGCCGGACGGTGTCGACATGTGTTAGGCGGCGCGACCATCATCCTGCCCCCTCCCACTCAGATCTAATTCCTCAAACCGCAAACACAATAGCCCACTCACAAGCGCGGCCCCTCGAGGAGCCGCGGAGGGGAGGGGCGCCATGAATGGCAGAGGAGCCGAGGTGTCTAATAATCACTAACAAGTTTATTACCGCCGACAAAACGACGAAAAACGGAGGAAGTATAAACGACGAGTTTAAAGCCTATTACTCGCTCCTTCTGCGAGGGGGTGAGCGCGCGAACGCGGCGCCGCGGCGAGGGGTAGGGAAAAAAACACAAATGTTTGGATTGGGCGGAGTGGTTTGGATAAGCCCCTCCCACTGGACCAGCCCGATGGGCCCGGGCCCGGGATCCACGGCTCGGGTAGTGTGCTCATGGATTCGGAGTGTAGCAGTGGCTCGTCGGCCCATTCGCCGCTCTCGGTATCGCTGTCCGTTTCGCCCTCGCCGCCCCCCTCCCCGAAAGGCGCCTCCGAGCTCCAGCTCATGCTGCTCCAGCACAGGGCGCCCCTCGCGACGCCCTTCGGGCACCCCATGACGAGCATCGGGCCCGGCCCCCCCAAACAGCACACCATCGACGCCATCCTCGGGCGCCCCCGGAAAAACCCCCACCCCCACCCCCTCCCCCACGGGCTCCCCGATGTGCGGACTATTAATAATAATAACAATGAATCCAGTGGTAAGTGCATTGTCGATTTCCTTGCGTTTTTTGCCAGACAGAAAGGTGGTAAGTCCAGAATTTTTTCTAATTTCCTAGGGATTACATCTGTTTCGGGCACAAATTACAATTTTTTGGGTTTACACCGAGTAAAAAGTGAAAAATATTACTAGAATGCTTGCAGGATGGTGTGTCGCTGGACTGAAACGTTATTTTTCATGTTCATTTGGGAATTAAATCAATTCGGGACATCGAATTACAATTTTTTGGGTTTAATCCAGGTAAAAAGTGAAAAAAAAATGGGTGGGTTGCTGGGGGCGGTGTTGTATTGGAATGAGCCATTATTTTTCAATATTCATGGGAATTACAACATTTTGGGGGAACAAACAACAAAGAGGCCGGTGTAAACCAGCCTAAATGTGACACAGATAGCTTGGATGCATATGGTGGTATTTATGGGTGCATTTTTGTTCTTTTCACCTATTTTTCAATTTTCTTTGGGAAACAAAACACACCAAGAACTGGTTACATGGCAATGAAATGTTTGGGATGTTTCAACGAGGGTGGTGATTTAGTTTTGTTGGATTATTTTCTCAATTTTTGTGTGTTTTGTTTTGTTGAGTTTATGGACTATTAGTAGGTATTGTCTCCTCAGAGATCAAATGAGCAAAGTTTAACAGAAAGGAACTGAGTGACATTTTCAATACAAATGAGTTATGAGTGATTTTAAGGTCATCATCAAATATGCGACATTTTGTCGTTTTCCGGACGAAGTAACGTAACTCCATCCAATGCTGTAAAATTGACTCAAATGGTTAATTTTTATACTAGAATGTACTTGCGCTATTTCTGTTCAAAAGTTGTCTGATTTTTGCCGAAGATCAGAGGAAAAATCAGTGAAATTTTCAGTTTGAAATGTCCAAGATTTATCTGCTAAAAATGCAATTCGCGGGGGAAAATTCGGCAACATTGAAATATAGTTACGTTCTGTTTTGAGGGAAACGAGAATTTTGTCTGGTAAAAAATCAAAGCCGCTGAACACTTTTTGATGGCCAAAATATGGCCAGAAAGTTCATTGTTTCAAACTGAGCGCCGCACGGAAGCACGAAACTTTGAACCTTTTATATTCTCTATCATAATTTAATGTGACTCGATTCTTTTCTGCTAAGTTTAGTTCATCTCCTTTGAGAAACATAACATAAGAATTTGGTTATCAGGCTAAAAATCCTTAGGACGGTGTGATGTTTTTGTCTCTTAGACTTGTTTCTTTCATTTTGTGCGTTTTCGACATTGCTGAGTTTTCAGGATAGACGATATTTTATTCTATCATTTTTTAAGGGAGAAAATGCGCAAAAAAAGAATTATTTTAACGAGGTAGAGGAAGAAATTTATTAAACTTATTGGGACCTCGCGTACATCTGAACTGTGGTTTATCATTTTTCGCTCCACTTTTCTTGTTCACAAAAGAAAAGAGCCAATTTCATCGCTCGAAATTGCCATAGAATATTGATTAAATAGAGAGAAAATCACGAAAATATTTTAAAAAGCTACGCCAATTAGCATTCTTTCTCCTAAAATATGAAGTATAACAGTAGGCTACATAAAACGCCGTAAACTGAGAAACAGGGTTCCTGATGTTGAGCTATCTTCATCAAAAATTCGAAGAGACAATATTATTGAGTTTAAATTAGCTAAGTTCAATTCGTTTATTTTATACTTAATTAGGTTCCAATTTCAATGAACCATATCCGCAACCCATGATGCACCAACTTGTTTTTAAAATGAGCAGTAAATGCAACTAGATTGCATTTGTGCGAGTCAACATTGGGTGTGACGAACTGAATTTTGTCTTAATTTGATAAAATTTTGGTTTACTAAGGGCACAATTTTAAGAAACGCATTCAACAAGCACTTTGCTTACACAAGCCGACACAAGTCGTTTATTCCCTGCAACTCACGGAGTTTTTTTCAATATTTAATCAATGCCAAAGATGTAGCTCATTCCGATGGTTAAAATGCGATGGTTAAAATGCTACGCATCTCCATTGCAGTGTTTCAAAATCTCCTCTGCCATTTTATTGTTTCGCAAAGAAATAAGTCGACTCTAAAGCTTATTTTTGATGAATATTTTGCTGATAAAGAAGATAAATCAAGGAAATTATTAGGAAATTAAGATGACTAATTGTCCAATGATAAAAAAAACCCAGTAAAACAGGAAATCTGCAACGTCGCAAACTGAGGTACGTGGTACCACACTTTGGCCATCGAGTTAATGGTCTAAGATAAGTCATTTTTTTATTGTGAGAAACGACCATCGATATGTCTTCTGAAAGCTCGGTAAAAGTATTTATGAACCCTTTCTGTAAAATTTTACAAAGCTTATCCGTATATTTCCCAAATCGTTGCTTCTGTTGATGAATAATTGCAAGGAATTTAGAACAGAGTTCTAAGTATATTCGATGTTCAATACTGCCGTGTTAAGGAAAAACGTCGTATGAGAATTCTGCTGTTGCAAAATTTCCCTCGACAAAGATATTTATTTTGGAGAGAAGTTATGCATATTTTTCCTTCAAACTTTCAGATGTTTTAGATTAATTGTGAAAAAAATCGACTAAAAATTGGAAGAAAAAACATTGAGAATTTTTCCAGTTAATTCGTTTTTTATCAAAGGAAATTAGGCAACGCCTGAAGGTTCATATGCCGTTTTTCCTCAGCGCAGAATATGCGCTGATTCGTCGGTACTGAGATGAATCACACTATCTTCGACTATAATGCAAAGAAGTGGGTTCAAATGGTCTTTATTCTGAAATGATCCGAAATTCGTTCAAGTGAAAGGTCATCTTTCCTGTTGTGAAGAAAAATTCATGGATATTTTATTCATCAGGGTGGACATAGATTCAAACAAACCTTTTACTTTACTTGTTTTTAGCGAAACACGTCCACATTGATAGAATCGAATAGCACAAGAGTGTAATCATTGTTTTAGCAAAAATTTGTGGCGCGGTGAAAACTTAAGAAATCTCAGAATCTCAGCACTGGAAAAAAAAACATTGGATCTAGAGTCCAGACTCTTGAAAACATTGACAAGAAAAAGGACTCTTGATTCAATCCGATTTAAACTTAAATCAAAAGGAAATCCGCTCAAATTAAGAGGCTTGGTTCTTGATTTAAGATTAAATCTGATTGAATCAAGAGTATTTTTTCTTGTCGATGTTTTTCAGAGTCTGGACTCTAGATCCAATGTGTTTTTTTCCCAGTGAGTTTTATGATAAGATGCTTACCTATCGTTTTAAGAAATAGTGCAATCCAACATAAAGATAAAAATCGTCTAATAAATGCAGAAGACAAGAGAAAAATAAATAAATGAAAGTAGAACGTAGATTATGACTCATACTCTGAAGCAATTATCGCTGCTTAGAAAAAAGAATGAGATCCGTAGTTTCTCAAACGAAAGACGTTGCTTAATTTCTTTTCACAAACTATAATTTTACTAGGAAACCGCTGGGCATTTAAAAAATTGAGTTGTTATTTGATCCGATTTTACACCCCAGGAATAGGTACGATGCGCTCCTCTGTCTGGGAAATGACAATTTACATTTCATTTTAAATTACCAGAATCCTAGATCTTGTTGATGAAATGGTCGCGTGAAATTGCATTGGAGTTTTAAAGGAAGATCTTCAGAGGCTTTTAAGGAAACTCAAGGGAAAATTGTAAAACAATTTTTAATCTTTAAATGTTGCATGTCAACAACGGTAAACCTTTTTTTTCTTTGGCTGCACAGTTAAAAATAAAAATGTTTTACTCTTTGTGACTCCGCCAGTGACGTCCTATAAATACGCCCTAAGTGACTTGCGGAGTCGCAAAATATAATTCGGAACCAAAAAAAAATAAAATAAAAGATTTGCCGTTGGTTGACATGCATCATACAGAAATTAAAATTTGCAAAGTAAATTATCCCTTTAATTGTATATACTTCCCATCGCTAAAAAACTGAAATTTCTTAGAAGTTGGGCAAGAGGAGGTTAGCGGTTCGCGACATTCGCAGTTGGTTCGGATGCAATTCTGCAACGGCATGCAGGGCATGCAGGCGTGGCGTGGGGCAGAACTGGAGGCGCAGCAATTAAAAACTCATTTACCATGACTGTGGCTCTGTTTAATTGCAAACTATGCATATCAGAGGAATCAATTAACTCAAGGTGTGTTACCTCGCCTTCCTCGGCGATAAGTCTCCAGGCAAACATGGAATTAAATCTAGCAATAATTAATCATTTTTTCACAGTGAGACCTTTGTGGTGTTTTCCTACTTTCCTTTTAATTTAATCAATGTCCCCTGATGATAAGAACCAAGTGCAATCTCAACGACGATCGCGAGAAGCTGGGAACATAATTTTGTTTTACCACACGCAAATACCGCCGTGCTAAGGAAAAACGCCGTATGAACCTTCAGGCGTTGCCTACTTTCCTTTGATAAATAACGAATTCACTAGAAAAATTCTGAATGTTTTTCTTCCAATTTCTCAGGCAATTTTTGTTCACAGTTTAATCCAAAACATCTGAAAGTTATAAGGAAAAACACGCATAACTTCCCTCAAAAATAAATATTTTGGCGAAGGAAATTTTGCAACAGCGGAATGCTCTTACAGCGTTCTTCCTTAATATAGCTCGGCATTAGAGAGTGGCTTTCACTTCATCTCTGAATACCATCGGTATATTATTCATTGGACGTATTTTGAATGCGCGAGTAAGTAAGATCTCTCATGGATTTTATTACAAATCGTTAGTGCTAGAAAAAAGACTAAAATTCCGTTGGATGGAGTATACTCTACTAACTCTAATCTAATTTCAAATTTTGTTTTTTTAAAATTGTACCACGGAAACACTCAATAGAGTGGTTTTTCTTTCTTTCTTGGACCTAAATTGAAACTGAGTGCATTGAATTTAGCAGTAAAATTAGATCATTGCTAGTATTATTAATAGTTTGCGAAAAAAGCCATGGGACACCTTACATGGGCAAATTCGA